GTGTCTGTGTGAGAGTATGTGTGTGCGTGTGTGCGCGTGTGTGTGTATATATGTGTGTGTGTCTGTGTGAGAGTATGTGTGTGCGTGTGTGCGCGTGTGTGTGTATATATGTGTGTGTGTCTGTGTGAGAGTATGTGTGTGCGTGTGTGCGCGTGTATGTGTATATATGTGTGTGTGTCTGTGTGAGAGTATATGCGTGCGTGCGTGCGTGTGTGCGTGCGTGCGTGTGTGTGTGTGCGTGCGTGCGTGCGTGTATATATGTGTGTGTGCGCGTGCGTGCGTGCGTGCGTGCGTACGTGCTTGATGTTTGTTCATGTTCCACTCTGCGTTTGCTGGCGGTTTCTGTTTTGTTATTGCTGCTGATTTTTCCCTGTGTTCCCTGTGTGAGTGTGTGTGTGTGTGTGTGTGTGTGTGTGTGTGTGTGTGCGTGAGTGCGTGCGTGCGTGTGTGTGTGTGTGCCTGTGTGTGGGTGGCTGTGTGTATGTGTGTGTGTGCCTGTGTGTGTAGGTGTGTATATATATATATATCTACTACATAAATGGGGGAATCTGTCTGTCACTCTGTCCGTCTATCTTCTCGAGACCCGTAACAGGTGACCCCCCAACACCATATATATTCTCAATCAGCATGACGCGACGACCATTTTAAACCCAAAAAAATGCAAATTAAGCCAACAAAATATGCAAAAAAAGCCAAAAACATCAAAAACGACCGTATATGTACGTGAACTATCTATGGTGTCATGTGACACCGGGTGCTATAGTTATTTATTAAATCTTACCATTTATTTCAATGTTTGTCAAATGTTCTCATACATGATTCCTATGTTTATTATTTAATTATGTCATTCTTCCATGGCCCGATAGGGGCATGCAACAAATAAAATTAATTCAATCCAATGCATAAAATGTTATTGGACGGTGGCGCCCCCGCGAATGAGCGGTACATTTTCGAACGATTTTGGTTTTGCTTTTGGGTGGGTTCGGGACAGCGCTCGAGAAGTGACGGTTTCGGTTTTGCTTTTGGGTGAGTTCGGGTGCAAAGCAGTGAACGCAGCCTGCAGGGAGTACGCTTTGTCAGTTACAGCGCTCGAGAGGTGTGTATACGGTTCAGTGTGTAACGCAACAATACCAGAGTCAACGATACGTCAATCTTTCGTCTGTGGTCGTGATGAACGCATGAATTGCTGTTAAACATTGCTATACAGTATATAACGTATAAGCGTTACAGTATTAGTAATATTAATAATAATATTATCAAGAGCAGATAAAGAAGGTAAAGAAAGCCTTCTTTATCTGCTCTTGATATTATCTGTATCAGCATTCACGGCCCCCCATTCGCATTGTGTACAAAGACTGTGTATCACGTCATTACGTTTATTGATGCTGGTCATTTCAGTGATTTACCATGTTACGCTAATGTGTTTATTCACAATCGCTAATATTATCTGTATCAGCGTTATGTACAAAGTCTGCTGTGTAGCACGTCATTACGTTTATTCATGCTGCTTATTTCAGTTATAAATTTAGCATGTTAGGCTAATGTGTTCATTCACATTCGCGAATAGTATTAGTCATATTAATAATAATGTTCTTTAATTCTTTGTCAAATGTTCTCAAATTCTCATGTTCTCATATGATTCCTATGTTTATGATGTAACTATGTCTATCTTCCATGATCCGAGAGGGGCATACAAAAAATATAATTAAGTCAATCCAATGCATAAAATCTCATTGGACGGTGGCGCCCTCTGCGAATGAGCGGTACATTTTCGAACGAGTTTGGACAGATTCCGCCATTTCTGTAGTACATTTATGTATGTAATAAAGGTAAAAATAAGGGGGAAAAAGAGAAAATGAGCCGAGAGGGGGAGGGGAGGGGGCGGGCGAGAGCGAGAAAGGGCGCTTAAAAAGCCGGAAAAAGGCGATGACGGAGAGGATGGATGGATGTACCAGCCGTGATGGCAGACTAAAATCTGCTAGCACTTTATTCTCCTTTATCTGGCGGCATCCCCGCGGCTAAGCCAGTCATATATCTATATATATATATATATATATATGATATAATATACATATATTGATGTTCTGTGTGCGCGTGCAAGTGTTGTGTTTGCGCGCGTTTGCTGCGTGCATCGCTTGCCTGGTTGTCGTGTGGTTGTGTGCTTGTGTGCCTGTGTGTGGTGTTGGTGTGCGGTGTGTGTGTGTTGGTCGTGTGGGTGTCGCGTGTGCGTATGCCGCGTGCGCGTCGCGCGATGCGCGTGTGCGTGTGTGTGTGGTGTGCCGTGCTGGACGTGCCTTGACGGTGCGTGTGCGTGTATCGTGTGCGCTGCGTGCATTGTGTGGTGTGCCCTGTCTGGTGTGATGTGTGTGCTGATGTGTGTGTTGTGTAGTGCTTGTACCGTGCGTCCGTGCTGTTGCGTCCGCGTGCATGCGTGTAGCCGTGTTGTGTGTCATTATGTGTGGCGTGTGGTGCGCGGCCGCGCGTAATATATATTATTGTGTGTGTGGCGGCGTCTTGTGTGCACGCCGTTGGTGCGCTGCCATGTGCTGTGTGTGTGTGTATGCCGCTCTGTGTGTGCCTGTGTGTGCGTTGCATGTTGCCTGTCTGTGTGTAATGTGCGTGCGCTGCTTCGCGTGCGTGCTTGTGCGACAACAGGCTGTGGTGTGTATCGTCTGTTGTGTGGGGCATCTGTGTTGGTGTGTGCATGCCGTAGTTGCTGCGTGTCTCTCTCTCTGTTTTGTGTGTGAGTGTGTGTGCTGCTGTGTGTGTGTGTGTGTCGTGTGTGTGTGTGTGATGCGTGTGTATGCGTATTTGTGGCGTGTGTGTGCCTACTCGCTGTGCTGTGTGTGTAGGCAGCTGTGCTGTAGGTGTGCGCGCCGCTGAGATGTTGTGTGTGTGTCGTCTGATGCGCGCGCGCGAGTGTATGTGTGTGTGTGTCTGTGCGTCTGGCTTGCTGCTGCGTGCTTGTGCCTGTGCGTGGCAGTGCGTGCTTGCGCCGTCGCTGGTGCGTGCTCTGTGTGCGCACGTGCCGTGGGATGTGTCTGTAATACCATAATGTATTGCTCTCTGTCGCACCATAGACGTGGCTTTGCGGGCTAAAGATCTGCTGACGGAATTTAAAGCATTTTAGACCGATAGAGAGTAAACATCAACATATGAAGTTTCGTAGACTAACGCGACAAACTTCCTGTCGTTTATCTAGCCCTATCATTTTATTATTAAAATGGCGCGCAGCTGCCTGTTGTATGCAGCCGCCGTGACCTGAATCAACACGCTGCTACACTGGCCCTTAACTCATTAACGTATACGCCGTATGTATATTAATGTTGGCGAAAAGAAATCTACTCATCGTAAATAGGTCAAAGATAGCGAAAGTGAGTAATACGAAAATAAATGATGCCTTTTATGCCACCGATAGCCTAAGAAGTAGCCTACGATGAGATGATTGATTTTTCTTAAATATTTTTAGACAGCGCCAAACACCTGGCAGCAGGCGCATTCAGAGCGTCCGGCCAGCTGACGCACTAGCAAGCGCCCACGTAAGATTAAGATTTTTACTAAGAATATTTAATTTAATTGCATCAATCATACAATCTTTCGATTAAAATTCCTGTATGCATCTCGTATATTATTTATAAATTTATATATATATTATATCAGTATTTACATATGGTGTCGTGCGGTGCGTGCGTGCTTGCGTAAATAAAGTATATATATATACTATATAATATTATATAGTATATATACTATATAATATATACTAATATGTAGCAGTAGTGCACGCATACATTTGTAACTTCGCAGCGTTAGTAAGACCTTCCGTGCCCTGTGTGGCACACAAAAGTTAGAAATTTATAGAAAATTTTCGAAATTTGCAGGAATCTGTACTTCTAAAATTCCCGCTGATTTCATAAACATCTCACTTACCAACAGTACCTTAGTATATACGAATATATAATGGAATATATAAGTATATATATATAATATATAGATATATGATTTTAGTTCATCAGGTCTCACACGATAGACTGTCACATCAGGTGTATTGTTTTCTCAGGTGTCAAGACAGTGATCAGCATCGCCAGGGGTCGCCAGCTACCGC